CCCTCCTTTAATATAAAAAAAACCACCGCAACGCTTCCTCCTTCCCCCCCACCCACACACACACTCATTGCCTCCCTCCACAACCGACCACTCACATACACACACACACACACGCAATCTTTCACACTCTCTTTCTTGCGCATCATTGCCAATGCCTGGTGCACGTGTTCGCCTGCGAGCTTGCTTTGCAAGCCAACCCTGGCTCGTCGCCTTGGTCATACTCGGCCTCGTCACCCTTGCCACCCTCTCACAGTACGTCCCCTCCTCCCCCCCCTCCCCCCCCTTTCCCCTACCCCTACCCTCCCCCCTCCCGGCACTCTCTCTCTCTCTCACCCTCGCCTCCCAGAGCCAACGTCGTCGTCCATCGCCAGCTCGTTGCCACCAGCGGCGACGACGCTGCGGAACGGTCCGATGGCTTTGTGACGACCGTAGATACCACCTTTGTCTTCTCCAAGACCTCGACGGCTTGGGTTGGCGTCCAGTTTGCCCTGCCGCTGCGTGCGGATGCCAAGGTGGCCGACTTTCGTCTCGCCTTTACCTCAGTGGCACCGGCTGCGGCCTCTGGCCCGTGCTCGGTCACCATCTATGTCGAGGACTCTGCCAACCCAGCCGCCTTTGCGCACGGCTCAATGGGAACGCTAGGCGGGCGCTCTCGTGCTACCCCGTCGGTGGTCTGGAACCTGCCGACAGTGGCCGCCGACGATGCTGGGCGCGTCGGCCTGCCGGCCACGACCTCGCCGGACCTCACCCCACTCGTCGAGCACGCTCTGAGCCTCGCGGGCTGGTCGTACAACTCGCGGATCTCGTTTCTGATCTCGATTTCGTCCACTTCGTGTGATCCTGCCGCAAGCGGTGCGAGGACCCTGGTTGCCCGCGGCTCGACAAACCCATCGTGGTACTCGCACCGCGCGGCGCCGATGGCCATCTTTAAGCACATGTGCCTCTCGTGCGAGCCGAGCTTGACCTTCCCGCCGCCATTTCCTCGCCCACCGTTCACCTCAACAACATCTACTTTCCGGCGTTGACACGCAAAGTTGCCGTCAACGACGTTGGCGCCACCCACACCGTCTACGCTCCGATGGCCTCGTCGCCACTTGACGCCGCGTACGAGACCCTTGCCACGTCGGCGCTCGGCTCACTCGGTACTGTTCTTGCGCCCTCCAACGTCGCCACGTCTTCGTCGTACGGCACCCCCTAGGCCACGCGCGCGCGCCCGACCATACCTACGTCCCTGTCGCCACCCGGCTCGCCTTCCATTCGCTGGGCACCGTTCCGGGCGCGCACTTTATCACTCTCGATCTGGTGGCCTCGTCGTCAAACGCCACGGCCAACTTCAACCCGCTCAGCCTCCGGCTTCGTGCCGAGCACGCCTCGTCGGCGCTTTCTCCCCTCGCCCCGGCGCCGTCGCCGCTTGACATCACCTCGCGCCCGGTCGCTCCCGTGAGCGTGTTCTGGACTCTGCCGTCGAGCTGGTCCTCAGATGATCCCATCACCTCACCTTCGCTTGTTTCTCTGGCTCACCAGGCCGATGTTGTTGCCTCACCGACTTGGCACGTCGACAACCCGCTCGCCCTCGTTGTGGAAGGCTCCGGCGCACGTATGGTCCATGGCCCAGGCACGCCGTCGTTCCATCCGTATCTCGCCGGTGAGGCCGTTATTGGCACCTCACTGCCCAAGCTCTTCATTAATGCCACCGGCGGCACTGTGACCCTCGCCACCACCGCTGGCCTCGCCTTTTCTATTGGCGATGGTGTCGGCGACTACGAGCTCGAGGCTACTGGCAAGCCCGCTTCCATCAACGCCGCCCTCAACAACTTTTACTACAACCCGACTCGCCCGGCATGGATCCGACAAACGTCTCCATTTGCTACACCTACTCGCGTGATGTCGTCGCCTCGGCTGTTGGCTGGTTCTCGCAACTCAACTTTGACTCGACGCTACCGCCGCTCTTTGCCGACGCCAAGGCCGGGAGCGCCGGCGCCGTCGCCGCCGGTGCACCTCAGGTCGTCTTTGACGCCACTGCGCCGTTCTACTCGGCCTGGGGCGACGGCATCTTCCGTGGCACTCTCCGCCTCAACGCCACTGCTGGTGACGCTGGCTCGCTCGACGCACCCCTCTACGCTGCCCCGCACCACGACCTCTCGCTGGCGCTGTGGGTGGCGACACCAGCTGCTGCCGGGCCGCACACCACCACCACTCCGGTCATCATTGCCCGCGGCCCGCTGCCAGCCGTCGTCTCTGCGCCAGCGTTTGCGCTCACCCTTGACACCGTCGCAGGCACCGCAGTCTTCACCGTCTCGGATGGGGCTTCATCATCGCCGATCTCTGCTTCGGTCTTGGTGGATGTCTCGAGCCAACTTGCGTCCGGCACTTGGTTCCATCTTGTCGCCATGTATGACGCCTCCTTCTCTGAACTCGTGCTCTACCTCGATGGCGTGCGCGCGCCGACTCCGCTTGGCAGTGTGACCCTGCCTGCCACCTTTGCGGCCAACGTTGTGGCTGCCGGCGGGTTCGGCCCCGGACCCACCACACTGGGTGGCTCGTTCTCGGGCTGGCTCGGCGACGTCCGCGCCTACTCGGTCCCGCTCACGCCGCAGCAAGTCTCGCTGCTTGTCGCCTTTGAGGCCGGTTTTGTTCGATCCGGATGCACCCACCTGGTGGTCGCGCCTGCCCCGCCGCCGTCGCCGCCGCCGTCGCCGCCTCCGCCGTTTGCTCCGCCGTCCCCGCCGGCCTTTGCTGGCCACTCGCCGGCAGGCAGGCTCATCCTCAATCCGCCCGCTACTGCCGACGACGTTGTTGAAGTTATCTCTACCGCCAGCCTCCGATCTTCGACCGAGACAACTCTCACTGTCGACCCCGACGCTATGGCTGCCGTCCGCTTCGCCGTCCCCATCCCGCATGGGGCACGCATCGCCGCCGCCCACTTGATCCTCCGTCCGAACACGGTCGTACCGCAGACCTCGATCACCAACATCACTATCTCGGCCGAAAGCATCCGAGACGCCCCGCAGCTCACGAGTGCGTCCATGCTCTTTACGCGGACCTTTTCGCCGACCTCGGTGTTGTGGGACGTCGGCCACTTTCTGCCACAGCATCGGCACTTTGCCGTCCCGTCCGTCGGCCGTTCCCCCGACCTCGCTGCCATCCTGCAGGAGCGCGTTGATGACCCACTGTGGACCAAGGACTCGCACGTCATGTTCCGGCTCGTAGCCGGTGGCGCTGTCGGCGCCAGCCGCACTTTTTACGGCACCACCACCTCGACGGCCAACAGACACATCTATGCGCCGCGCCTTGAGATCGAGTTCCACTGCCATGTTGCAGGCTGCGGACCGACCCTTGTCCCGCCGCCCTCGTCCGCCACTGCCCCCATTGGCACCACTCTGACACTGCCCGCCTTTCTGATCTCCGACCCGGACGTGCTCTCGGCCTTTATCGCCCTCCCAGCCAAGTCCGCTGACGATGCGTACGAAGAGACAACCGGCGGTGCGTACCCCGGCGACGTCGTCGATACCGGCACCACGCTGCACTTTGGCTACAAGTCTGGCCTCATCTTTTCCCGGCTCGTCTTCCCGGCTGCTGGCCTGCCGCATGGTGCTCCTGTCCACTCGGCTGCAATCTACGTCGCGGCGGCCACGTCCCGATACGGCACCACGACCGGACTGGTCTACGGCGACGCATCGCAGCCGGGGCCGGCTGCGATCGCGGCCGACTTTGACATTTCTAGCCGCCCGCGGACCGCTGCCTCGGTCCCGTTCGGCCCTGCCTCCATGCCATCCACTCAAGTCATGTACCCGCTCACCTCGAACATCGGCCCCATCCTCTCCGAGTACACTGCCAAGCCGACATGGGACGAGTCTGCCGATGTCCATGTAATTGTCGAGGGCACTGGCGGCACCGACTACCGCGTCACATACGCCATGGACCACGCCTACGGCGAACCCATGTACATGCTCGAGGGTGCGTTCGAGGTCACAGGCCCGTGGTCGTTTACAGTCTCGGTCAGCCATGGCAACGTAGGCCTCACTCCGCTCCCGGCCGGCCTGGTCGTCACCTCTGGCTCGGCCGCGGGTGACGTTCACATCGAGGGCTCCGCTCCATTCCATGTCTTGGAGTCGCTTCTTGAAGGCGGAGGCATCACCTACACGCCCCCAGCCTACACCGTTGTTGACGTGGTGTGCATCAACGTCACGGAACCTCTTCTCGACGACGTTTTTTACCTCGACGCGCGGTTTACCTTTGACCCGGCTGGTCCTGGCGCAGGCCTTGACTCGATCCGCACCCAGCCGGTGACTGCCAGCCTTGCAGGCTCGTCAGCGCTGGCCACCTCGGCTGTTGCGCTGCCAGACGCACGCCACTACACGGCTGCGCTTGGCGCGAGCGGATCGGTTCTGCTTCCTGCGTCGACTGCACCGTGGCTCGCACCCAACGGCTCGGACTGGTCGCTGGCGTTTTGGGCGCTTCTGCCAGCTGGAGCCCCGCCGCTGCCGTCGGCCCTGGTCTCGTTTGGTCTCGGGCCTGGTGAGCCCGGTATGGAGCTTGTCTCTGTGGCTCCCGACTGGTTGACCTGGGTAGTGCGCGACGACCAGACTGTCGACCCAGCCCCGCCGCTGGTCAACGTCACCCTGGCGTGGCCGCCGTCGCCATCGCCGACCTGGCACCACTTTGGTATCTCGCTCTCGCGCAGATTCGCCGAGTTTGCACTTTACATTGACGGTGTTGCTGCTGGAAGTTACGCATGGGACGACAATCTGGACCCTGTGGGCACCCAGCCGGTGACTGCCAGCCTTGCAGGCTCGGCAGCGCTGGCCACCTCGGCTGTTGCGCTGATGTGCGGATCTACACTGATGCGCTCGGCGCGTTCAACTTTGCCCAAATGGCCAGTCTCGCGCCGGGCCCAAAGTTTCGGCGTGTGTCGACGTTGTGGTCACCCCGCCGCCGCCGCCGCCGCCATCGCCGCCGCCGCCATCGCCACCGCCGCCATCACCGCCTCCTCCATCGCCGCCGTCGCCTCCTCCTCCCTCGCCACCGCCGCCATCGCCGCCGCCGCTTCCGCCGCCATCGCCGCCCGCGCCACCCGCGCCACCCGTACCGTCTGCCTGTGAGTCGAACGTGCGCGATTGTGCCGGTCACTGCAACGGCTTTGCCGTCGTCGACGATTGTGGCGTGTGCTCAGGCGGGCAGACCGGGCTCGTCCCTAACGCCGACAAGGACCACTGCGGTGTGTGCTTTGGTGGCAACGCCGACAAGGACGACTGTGGTGTTTGCCGCGGCGGTAATGCAGGCAAGGACGTCTGCGGTGTGTGCTGGGGCGATGGCTCGTCCTGTGCTGGCTGTGACGGTGCGCCGTTTTCGGGCCAGGTCTTTGACGTGTGCGGCGTGTGCGGCGGCGATGGGACCAGCTGCCTCGGCTGCAACGGCCTTCCCATGTCTGCAGGTGGCCGGACCATCGACACGTGTGGCGTGTGCGGTGGGCCACACATTGCGCCCGGATCTTGCGCTACAACATGTGCTGCTGGTGCCTACCATGACTGTGCAGGAGTGTGCGGTGGCAGCGCTCTCGTCGATCTGTGTGGTGTCTGCTGGAGTGCCACAGACTACGTGGCCAACGCCAACATGCACATGGACGACTGTGGCGTGTGCTTTGGCAACAACACTGCGAAGGACGACTGCGGTGTGTGCGGTGGGACCAACGCCGACAAGGATAGTTGCGGCGTGTGCGGCGGCAACAATGCCGCTCGCGATGCGTGCGGCATCTGCTACGGCTTCAACTACTCGGTCGATGCCTGTGGTCTATGCTTTGGTGAGTCGCGAACGTGTCTCGGCTGCGACGGAGTGCCCAACTCGGGCAAGGTCTTTGACCCATGCGGCGCTTGTGGTGGTGCATGCCTGGCAGCGACCAGCACGTCTCCGGTCCGCACCAAGTCGAGCACCGGGTTGACGGTCGGCGTCATTGCCGCGTCGGCGACCGCGCTCTGCCTCTTTCTTGTTGTTGCTGCCCTCGTCGGCATTATGCTGCGGATGCGGTCGTCGCAGCCGATTGCCGAAGAACGGATGCGGCGCGCTGAAGTCAAGGAGATCATCGATGAGAACCGGTTTACCGAGACCGCGAACGGACGGGCACCGACCGGAAACGTCACCTTTATTTTCACCCGCATTGCCGAGAACACCGCCCTGTGGGAGCTCTATCCTGAAGTCATGGAGCTGCTACTGGTGGCCCACTCGGACATTGTGCGTGGCATCCTCACCGAGTTTCCGGCTGGCTACGAGGTCAAGCTCGAAGCCGACGCCTTTATGCTCGCCTTTGCCGATCCACTTTCAGCCCTCGAGTTTGCCTGCCGCACCTCGGTCGAGTTGCGGACGTACCAGTGGAAGGAACACGTCGAGGCAAAGGGTGTAGTCTGGCCGCGAACGTCGTCGCTCAACGAGAAGACCGAGTTCCTCAACCTGCATGTCTCGATGGGTGTCCATGGTGGCAACGTGCTATCGACCGTCGACGAGCGGACCCAGCGCATGGACTACTATGGCACGGTTGTCAACCGCGCTGCTCGCATCTCGGCCTACGACACCAGCAACGGCGCCATCACCATCTCCGAGTACTCGCTCAACATGGCCCGCGCCATCGACGCCGCACGCACCGAGGCTGTGGCTCGGTTCCGCTGCGAGGGTGAGAAGGCTTTCAAGGGCATCGAGGATGCCATCATGATCTACGCCGTCATTCCGCACAACGCGCCAGGATCGACAGAGATGTCAGTTTCGCCGCGCGACATCGCTGTTGCACCTTCCGATGCCGACCACGGCGACGACCCAGACGACGCCATCGAAGCCGCGACGTCAGCCCGCGGCCCGCGGCCGACGTCAAAGTCGTCCAAATCCGACGACGTTGTCGGTATTGTCCACGCCCAGCGGGCAGCGTCGCGGGCATCGCTCTCGCGAGCGTCGGCAGCCCGCATGCAAAAGGTGCGATCCGGAGTTGGCTCGCGGTCGGGGCGGGCGGCGCGGGTCCTGCGGTCTCGGGCTGCCGCCTCACGGGCGCGGCCCGTCCGTAAGCTCTCGGCCCACTCGCTCGACAACGAGCAGCGCAACGGCGTGTCCGATGATGACGAGATCGAAGGGCAGCGTGCGGCCACCGCGCGGCCCGGCACCTCGGTCCTTGTCTCGTCAGCCTCCCTCACCGACATCGAACCCGTTCGCCCGCGTGCACTCTCGCGCGTCGGTTCGCGGCGCCTGGCGGCCTCGCCGTCGCAACGGTCGCGCACCGGCTCGCGCACCCGCCCAACGGTCGGCTCACGGGTTGGCTCAGTCAGGCGCAATCGGCCCGCGTCCAAGTCGGTCGAGCGGACTAGTTCCAAGGGCAGTCCGCGAAGCCGCCCAGATTCGCGCTCGCTTGGCGCCACAGACTCACAGTCACGCTCCAGGTCGCGATCAAAGTCGCGCTCCCGCACCGACGCCCGGTCGGCGCTCCTTGCTCGGCTTACCTCGCCGCCGTCTTCGGCGAGGCGCAGCTCTGACGATCGACTCAACAGGTCGGGCGGTACGCTGGCTCTTCCCGAGGAGCGCATGGTGCGTGCGGGCTCGATCGATACCTTGGCCTCGCCCATGGCCTCTCGCTTCACGCCCATCTTGGACCGCTCGGCCTCAACACAGGCCTTGTCGTAGCAGACTTACTCACCAAGGAGAGTGAATGCTGATGATCAAGGGGGACACCTTTTAGGGGCTGGGCAACTAATTGGGGTGGCCGTGACGCGCGGCTCTTGCCGCCTCGCGGCGGCGCTTCTTGGCCTCACGCTCGCGCTGGCGCTGATTGTCTCGCTGCGCCTTTTGCACGGCCAAGACAAAGTCGAGGAACTTACCGCAGAACTCCTGAGCCTTGACCTTGGCAGGGCTCTCGCCGTACGCTTTGGCGGTCTTGGCGTACGTCGTCTTGATGGCGGCGATTGAGTTGTGCATGTCAGCCAGCGCGGCGTTGGCGCCCTCGGCAAAGACCCCCATGACCTCGACAAAGCGGTCGGTTGGGGCTACAAGCTCCAGCTCCCGACCAATAACTTTGAGCGCAACAGTGAGTTCGGTCACCTGAGCCTCCAGCAGCTCGAGCGAGTAGCGCGCACCTTGCTCGACGTGGCTAAGATCCTCGACGAAGCAAAGCACGTTTGGGTGCTTAGTAGCGAGAAAATCGACGAGAACATGCAGCAGCGTCGTTCGGTTGTCCTGCGACTTGGTGTCGCGTAGCTTGTTAAGAAACGAGAGCCGGAAGCCAAGCGATGGGTACCCGTTCATAAAGTTGCCAACAGCGAGGACAAGCTCCAGGACCTTACTTAGGGCCTGAGACTCGAGAATGTCGGTGAGCGCGGCCGAGACCATCGTCAGCCCAGTCGTGATGTCCGTCGACCGCTCCTCAAACTGGAGCTTAGTTCGGATCGACTCTAGCCGTGGCCGCAGCCGGGGCACGTCCATGATGGCCATGACCACCCGCTCCGACTTGCCCAGAACACCAAGATCGCCGTCGTAGCTAGCCAGCGTCTCGATCTCGTCTGGCGTCGGCAGCTGCTTGAGCAGCCCGCACACCGCGTCCTCGTTCAAAACACGGGTGTCGAGGTCGAGAATGGCCTCGCGCAGCGCCTCGGGTGGCACCTTGATCTGGGCCATGAGAATGCCGATGGCGTTCGACTTTTTGCCATCGAGCAGGAGCACCTTTTTGGGCTTGGACGGCGCCGCCGACGCTGCTTGGAGCTTTGGTCGGCTCGAGGTGAACAGTGACTCGAGCTGCTCGTAGTCGAGCGTCCACTTTTCCGGATGCATGCTCTCAAACACTGTGCCGCGGACTTGTGCCGGTTTGAGCTTGGTCCAGTGCAGTTTCTTCATCGGCAACCGCGGCTTCCGCAAGGCGGCACCGCGCCCGAGACCAGCGCCGGGTGGGGGCGGAGGGCGCGGACCACCAGGCGGTGGTGGCGGCGGTGGTCCTCTTCCTCCTCCAGGCGGCGGTGGAGGCGGCGGTGGGCCTCGTCCGGGCGGCGGCGGTGGCGGTGGTGGACCACCTGTCAACACGCCAGCTCCGCCGGCGCGCCTCCCATCAACGTGGGTTACCGCAAATGACGCCGCCATCCGACGCTTGACAATGATCCTTCGCACGCCGAGGCGGAACCTCACCCGCGCAGCTTTGAGCCGCGAGTCGGCATCAATGTCAAGCATAGCCGCCTTTTTGAGCGTGGCTGCTACCTTGCGGGATAGCCGGGTGATCTCGAGCGAGTAGTGCTCCACAGCCTTGGCCGCCCGCCGCGCCTCGGCCTTGAGGCGGGCCTCATACATTGACACGGCTGCCCGCTGTGCGTCGCGGGCCTGCTGTCGGATTGCGGCAACGTTCGCCGCATGCACATCCAAGGCGTGGGCCACCTCGGGGCGTGTCGACTCGAGGTCAGACGCCCGCTTCAAGCTGGCAGCAAGCTCGTCCTCAAGCGTGCAAACGCGGTTGACCAGGCCATCGACATACGCGCGGGTATGGGTGGACGCCTGCATTCGCAGCGTCCGTGGTACGGTGGTGCCAGGCAACTCGTTGATCTCCGCCAGGTAGCCCATTGCTGCTGTCAGCGCCGGATGGCCTTCGTCCCGCAGCGGTTGTGCGCATGTTGCAAGCTCGTCTGCAGTAGGCACGTCGACCATGCGCGCAAGACGCTCGGCCAGCAGCGGCCAGCTGGCTTCTGCAAGGCTTCCCAGCGTCGGCAGGCTAACCAACAACTGCATAATCGCAACAAAGGCATGGTATGCTCGCTGCGATCCGACCCGTAGATGCTCGGCAAGAAACTGGGCCATGGCACTCGGCGACCTCATGTCGACGCCATGCATGACCAGCGCGGCGCCGTCGGCAGCGGCCTGCTCGCGAAACGCCACCAGTGCGTCGGCAGCGTCGCCGTAGGCCTCGGTATCGTCCTCAAACGCATTCAAGGCCGCGCCGAGGCCGTGGGCCATCCACTCTTCTCGGAGCGCGGCGCGAGCGTCGGCATCACCCAGTCCGTCAAGCACCGCGTTGAGCAGCTGAAGCGCCAGTCGCGCCAGCTCAAAGTCGCTATTGGCACTTCCCACGAGGCCCAGCACATGCTTGAATCGGTACGGGTAGCGCCAGTCCTGTGCCACCTGCTCAAACGCACGCAAGTGTGCGTGCGCGTTTGCGGACGGCTCGCGCCCCACCCACGCGAGCAGAACTTGCAACAGCGGCTCACGGAGTGCTGGCAACGGCCAGCGCAAGAGGCTGACAATCGCGCCCCGCGCGGAGCCATGGCGCTCGACAACGTCGAAATGCTGTGGCGATACAGCCAACAGCTCGGCAAGCGAGTGTGCAACGTTTGCGACGCTGGCTTGCTCCGGTGGGGTGAGCTTGGGCGCTCGCGACGCCATGACTAGGTTCTCCACAATGGCGTCAAGCCCGCCACCATCGTCCAGCTCTGCGGCAAAGGATGCTCCGCCGGCGCGGAGCGCCCGGCGTAGTGCCTCATGAGAGAGCGATTCATCGCCCAGCTTGAGCATGGTTGCAAAGTACTGCGGTGCCTTGTAGAGCTCGACGTCCGATCCGCTCGACGAGCCAGGCTCGGGCTCCGACGACGGAGATGCGACCCGCGGCGACTCGCCGGGTGTGGCCGCCGGTGTGCTGAGCGGCGTTACTGATCCGGAGAACGAGAACGAGGCATGCGGGAGCGAGCCCTGCGGCAGCGCCACCAGCGGCGACGTGAGATCAAGTCGAGGAATGGGTGTGGCTGCAGCAGGAGGGCCACCTGACGGCGAAGGCGTGGCCACGCCCCGGGCTTGGAGCTTGCTAAGCACGGCAAGTTCGTTCTTGTACGTTTGAAGCTTGGTACGCAACACATCGTGGGCGGCGCGAGCTGCGAGGTGCGACCGCTGCATGGTGTGGCGGTGGTGAAGCTCAATGGCGACGTCGTCTTCTAGAGTGGTGAGCAGCGCGCGATTGCGCTCGCGCGCTGCGTTCTTGAGCGCATTGCATTGGTCAGCTGTAAGCTCGCCGGCGTGGAAGCGGGCATCACACTCGGTGAGCTTCGACTCGAGTGTGCGCACCGCATCGGCGCGGGCGACTGCGATGACAGCGCTGCGCTCGGCAGCCTCTACAGTCTGCCGCTGAGCGACGACACTTGCACGCACCGAACGTGGTGTGAAAACAGTCGAGTTGGACGCCCGTGGGGTGTGGGCCAACTCTTCGAGGCTCACCAGCTCAGCGGTCAAGTTTGCGCGGAGCGTCTTGAGCTTGGCGGAAAGCGCCATGGGCTCATCGGCCAGCTCCCGGCGGGCCTTGGCCATGGCCACTTTGGCCTTGGTCTTGGCAATGTCGCGGGCGGCGGCGTGACGACGCTGGGCGGCGGCGCGCGAGCCCGACTCAAACGCGGCCGCGCCTGCGTCAATCAGGTCGCCGGTCGAGCTGGATGCGGTCTGTTCCGCAGTGTCAAGCTCGAGCAGGACGGCGACGGTCGACGACAAGGTCTGCGAGAGCGCAGTCTGTGATGCGGCATCGTAGCGAGCGCCAAAGACCTCAAGCTCATGGTCGAGCGGGTGCGGTGGCGTGGCGGCAGCAGCGGCAATGGCTGTCGTCACAAGCTCGGCCCGGGCCGCACTCTGTTGACTCTCTGCAGCAGCGGCAGCCGACTCGGATGCGGCTGCAGCCGTATGGAGCTTGGCCAGCGCTGACGCCGCAGCTTCCTGCTCCGAGCCAGCCTCGTGAAGCTCAGCTTGTGCGGCGGTGGCGACGTGGGCGCGACGCTCGGCGAGGTGGCGTGCAGCGGTATGCATCCGCTCACTAACGCATTCGGATTCAAATGCAGCCAGCTTGGCGGCGGCGTCGGCACCGCCGCTGGCTGTATCAATCTCCTGGAGAAGTTCCAGGCGAGCGTGGAGCGCGTGGTCGAGCTGATCAAGCTCAAGCGCGTGCCGTGCGTCAAGAACTTGCAGCTGGAGCGACTGTGCGGCCTGACGCGAGGCAAGAGCTTGCTTGCGACCAGCAAGAAGTGCAGCAAGGTCAGCATCGGCGTCGGCTCGAGCCCGCTCAGCCGCGGCAACATACTTGGACGAGACAGCAGCAGCGGCACGCGGGTCGGAAGCAAGCGCGCGCTCGCGCTCGCATGAGAGCATGAGTGAGGCAGTGAGTGCAGCAACACGGGCATCGTGCTGGTGGCGGAGCGTCTCCATGTGCAGCGCCAGCGCCATGTTCTCAGCCAGGTGCTGGTCGTTAAGGGCGAGACGGTGATGGGCCTCTTCAAGCTTGGCCTCGTCTCGAACCGTCTCCATAGCAACTTGCAGCTTGGCCGAGGCAATGGCATCGCTGAGCTGGACACCCGAGCGGTTGAGCTCGTGCGACGAAGCGTCGAGCGAGGTCGCGAGCGCGAGCTCGCGGTGCTGCTGCCGCGCACCTAGCGCCGCCTTTTCCAGCGCGTACTGCTTGTGACGGAGAACCGCGAGCTGGACGTCATGCTCAATGGTGTGTTGGAGTGCAGCGCGCGCTGATCCACTGCGGGCCTCGAGCCGCGCCTTGTGCTTGGCCTCAAGCTTGTCACGCTCGACGGCAGCCTCGTACTCGAGTGTCTTGATTCGAGTTTCGGCAGCCGCCCGGATGATGGTGGCCTCGTCCGAGCCGGGCTCGACGTCCGAAAGTGCCGTCGTGAGCGCTTGAGCTTCGCGGGCAACACCCTCGGCAAGCTGCCGATCGAGGGCATGGATGCTTACCGAGAGCGAGTCGTTGGCGGACGCCTCGTGGACTGCGAGATCAAGATCGAGCTTGGCCCGGAGCGAGGCGTGGCGGAGAGCAAGGACGGTGGCCTCGTGACGCGGGAGCTTGGCAAGTTCTGTCTCATACTCGGATCCAGCTCTTGTACCAGCACTGCGGAGGTGCGCCTCTACAGAAGGAGAAGACACACCCGGCTCGGGTGGCTCCAAACCGACGAGCCTGTTTTCGTACGCAGCGTCGGCGGCGGAGATGCCCGACTCGCGGGCGCGGCCTGCTATGACGGCCATATGAAATACGAGCTGGTCGCGGGCAAGCTCCACCGGCAGCGGATCCGCGAGTGAGACGCAGGCCCGCAAGTCCTGGCCCAGCGCCTGAACTTGTTCGGTGAGGCCGGTCTTGATCGAGGTCAGCGCCGCGTTGAGCTCGAGACGGGCGGCCGAGGAGAGCGAGCGCGAGGCTGAAAGAGCATCGGGATCCGAGGGAAGAACAAACGAACCGAGCGATTCCACTAGGACCCGAGCCGGGTCGACGAGGATGCCGTGCTTGGCCTTGGCCGCAAAGTAGCGAACGCCCTCCACAGTCCCGTCGTGCTTGCCCGCCCGCTTGTCGAGCTCGATGCCGGCCCACACGCCCGAGGCAAAGGCGACCGGGCCGAGGTATCGCAGCGAGCCGACTAGACGCGAGTTGACCATGACCCGAGCGCCGAGCGGGATCGGCCCACCGCGGAACGCCGCCTGCTGCGACTTTGGTACATGCGGAAGGAGGTCGAGCGGCGCCGCGCCGGCCGGGTGCAGCGAACGCAGATAGCGCGCCACCTCGGTGGCAGCGCCGAGAGGCTCGCTCAAGTTTGCTAGCAGCGGCTGGGCCAGCGCCGGACAGGCCAGCGCCTTGCGGAGCGCAGCTTCGGCGGCGGCCGGCGCCGCCGCCAGGACGTCGACTACGGCCTGAGGCGCACCCGAGAGCCGCGCGAGCGTCCCCAGCGCGACCCGCACCGCAGTTCCGCTCCACTGCGCACCCGCCCGCGGTGGATGGGCCTTGCGGAGCGAGTGTGGTACGTGCTCCATGCGCCCGTGTCAAGTGACGGCTATCGGCACCTGGAGCGGGAGGTTGCGGCGTAGGTGAAACAGCGTGGGCGGGCTGAGATCCCGGCGGACCCAGCGCCGGGCACAAACAGCAGTGTATGTCTCAACTTCAACAATGATTGCTCTCATATATCAAGGGCAGAGACGACGGCGGACCAATCAAAGTCGTCGTCGAGGCCGGTGATGCCGTTGGATGGCGGAGATGCGGGGATGGATGCAGCCGGCGCAGCCGGTGCTGCCGGGCGTGACGGCGAGTCGAGAACAATGACTTCGCCCGGCGAGCGAGGCCGAGGCTGAGGGCGAGCGCGGGCAGAAACACCCCGAACGGCCGCGTCGTCATCCGAGTCAGACGAGGAGATCGAGATGGAGATGGAGATGTCGCCAATGGCGCTGCGCCTGGCCGCCGCAGTGGCAGGCGCAGACAGAGCAGCCGCGGACGCAGGAGCAGGCGCAGACGGAGCAGCCGGGCGCGGAAGCAAATCGGCGTCAATGTCAAAGCAAACGCTACGCGGCTGGTCCGGGGGGCACGAGGCCGACGCCGCCTTGGACGCCGCCTTGGACGGCTTGGACACCGACTTGGACGTCTTGCGGCGCTTGGACGGCCGCGATGGCAGCGCGTCGAGCGCGTCGGCCACCCGTTGGCGGACCTTGGGGAGCCTCCGCGCACAGAGGAGGACATCCTTTTCGGTCACGTTCTTGCGCTTGCCGTGGCGAGCAAAGGAGAGCGCGTCTGTTCCGACACACACGGTGTAACCGGCTGCGAGCGAGGCAAGGATGCCGACCAGGGCGGTCGACGCAGGACGGCTCACCTCGCGGCCCTCGGCCTCACACAGGACGCCGGTGGCAAACACCATCTCCTCGGTCAGCACAGCCTCGCGCCTCCCGGGGCCCGGCTCACTCATGATCGAACCCCCCGTGTGCCCTGCAGACATGCACTCTCTGCGGGCGTGAGAGGTGTATTCGTGGCATGGTCAGCCCTGGCCGCTTTGGCTAGTGCTGGTGCCTTCAGGAAGAGTCGCTGGCTTGCAGCCTCCCAGTTTCCCGAAGCGTGGCTCCGACCGACCAAAAAAGGTCGTAGAAGGTGTGCAGGCCACAAACGGACAACTACCTGCCGAGACCAACTGATTCCATCCGAGGTTACACCCGACGCCAGACGCAGACGCCGACGAGGGCAACAAGAGAGAGCCCACTTCCGCCTGCAGCCAACCAAGTAGCAGTCACACTTTGCACTCCAACCACACACCTTTCGTTCCTTCCCAGCACCGCGCTATGTTCCGCTTGGTAGCCACGCAGAGCCTCGCTCCGCAGCGGCTGGCCAGGTTCGTGATCGGCTCGGAATTGCCTTCCTTCTTTGCCAAACGCGTGCGTGTCGCGTCATTCGGCTCGGCGGCAGCCTTTGCTCGTGCGGCCGAGGCTGCCGCTGGCTCCAACACCGCATCTAACATGTCCGGCGATGCGCCGTGGATGGGCGCTGCACCTGAGCGCGACGCATGCTGGTCTTGCGGCTCAGGCGTCGCCCAGAGCGCCAGCCTCACGTGCGGCTCGTGCGGCTCGGTCCTTCCGCTCCCCGACAAGGAGCCTGACCTCTTTGCCGTCCTCGGCCTCCCACGAACGTACAAGGTCGACACCGGCCGCCTAGAGACAGCGTTCAAGAAGGCGCAGCGGGCCATGCATCCCGACCGCTTTGCCGCCGCAGCCGGGCCCGAGGAGACGTACGCCTCGCAAGCCTCGGCCCTGTGCAACAAGGCTGTCGGTGTCCTCCGCGACCCGATCGAGCGGGCCATGTACCTCCTCGCCTCGTCGGGCTATGACCTGGAAGAAATGACTCTTGCCGATGAGCCCGAGCTCCTTATGGAGGTGCTTGAGGCCCAAGAGGAGGTCGCCGAGGCCACGGACCTCGACTTGCTGCACCAGCTGCAGGCCCAGGCCGAGGCCCGATGCGCCTCCACAGAAGCCGCCTTTGCCGCCCTCATCGACGGCCCATCTGATAACTTGCCTGCTGCCCAGCGCAAGGCCATCGAGATGAAGTACTGGAACAACATCCGCGAGGCCGCCAATGACCACATTGCCCGTCTCGAGAAGCGCTCGTACTCGGACCGCGTGTGAGGATGGAGTGCTGTCACACCCTTCATCCCACCTCCGATATCTTGTGTGCGGCCGTCCTGTACCCGGTTGTCACTTCCTTTACAGCGGCGCGCAAACGCCGCCGTCTCAGCACGGCGTGGAGAATCCCATTGAAGCTCCCGATGCCAGCTCTTTCACCACGCTGACTGCGCCTGTATACGTCAGCAGCGCCGTCGAGAGGCCGATGACGCCCGCAACAAGAAAGGCAATAAGCGACTGGGTCCCGGTCCGCGCTACCGCAGCGCGCAGCAAATACTGGCCGCACAGCGCCGCAACAAAGCCCCAGCCCGCAAACCAGGCCGCGTACGGTAGCGCCAGCTGGCCGAGAACTACAAACTGGGCCACCGTCGCAGACGACGTGAACATGATCATAAAGCCCGAGGTTGCCGTTGACGCGCTCGGCTCCATACCCAGCTCGAGCAGCAGCGGGCCCTTGATCATCCCACCGCCAATGCCCATCAGCCCGGCAGCAACGCCGGCGCCAAACGAGTACCGTGGAATGACCTTGGTCGTGTGCGCCGTCCAGCGGATGTCCGACGGCAGAAAGGTGTATCCAGCAGCCTCCTTGGCCGCGTGCTCGCGCCGTAGGCAACCTCCGATCCACACCGTCACCAGCCAAGCGCCGGGTAGCGCTGCGGCCAGAACCAGCCAGTAACCGGCCGAGCACGGCTCGATGCCCACCACCGACCGCGCTCCATGTCCGCCCTTGATCATCGAGAGCACAAGGACCGCCAGCCACACCGCACCCACGCTTGCCACCTTGCCCATCGGGATTCTAGCCTCGGCCGCGCGGATTGCCGCCAGCTCTGGCGAGAGTCCTGCGACCTCGCTGGCGCCGCTAGCATTGGCTTCATCCGAGAGCACGCTGTCGCGCTTGCTCACCGCCGTCTCGCGCGCAGCAATGGCTTTGGCCTTGGCATACGTCCGCAGCGTGGTCGCCGTGAGGAGGACAATGAGTAGGCCGAGAATGAGCCACGAGGGGAGGACCGTGTTGAGCAAGACGCCCAGAATCGAGCCGGCAAGCGTCATCGGCTCGAGCATGAGAACAACCGCATAGTCGATGAGCGGACGTGACGCAGCAGGGTGCCGCCGACGCGCAGCGACCACAAAGTTGGCTAGCGCCGAGCCAAAAATGGTGGCCTTGGAGAGCGGGATGGCCTCTGACGGCGCAAAGCCCATGACGAGGACAAAGAGCGGGACAAAGAGCCCACCGCCGCCAAGACCGGCACCAGCAGCAAGCGCCGCGCCGAGAACAACCCCAAGAGTCCCTGTCAGGTCCGTCGCCGCCAGCGGGAGCAGCGGCTTGTGGACACAGAGCGCAGTCTCTGCATCGCACACCAGATCCTGCCCGCGCACGTCGCACTCACCATCGCTCGTGCAGCGGACGCACTCGAGCACCACCCCATCACAGAGCCAGCCGGGCGGACACTGCGCTGCGTTGATGCACGGTACGGCCCACCCAGCCTCGCCCAAGTCTTGCCCATCATGGACATGCGCCGCCTCCGCTACCGCCTTGCTCCCGCCCCCCACACCCGCCACCGCCACCGCCGCCGCCACCGCCACCGCCAGCAACGCCCGCCAGTGCCAGTGCGAGGCCACTCGTCTTCGCCCCCGCGCCCGCTCCGCTCTCCGCTCGCCCCGGTTCGCAGTCATCCAGTCCACTCCGGGCGCCCTCTCTTTCTGCAAGGTCAAGTATGCTTGCCACCGGCCGCCCCGGGGGTGTTGGCGCCGGCCTGGCGGCACCCCGCTCCGCGCCCGTTCTCCGCGCTACCGCCGGCTCGTCGACCGCCCGCTCGGCCATCACCACCGGAGCCGTCCGCCCGGCTGGCCGCATGGCTTGGGGCAAGATCCGCCCGGACTCCCGCTCGGCTGACTGGTCGCACTCGCTGCTCATGGTCCTCGTCGGTGTCGCCGCTACACTGATCGCTCTCTGGCTGGTCGGCCCGCGCCGCAATCCGCGCCGCGCTGGCCTGGGTGATTACCACGGCGACGGTGGCGGCGATGACGGTTCTGCCAGCTCGACAGGGCTCGTCAGCTCAGTCCTCGGTGGACTGGGCCTTGCTCCGCAGGCCAACTCGCCCCAGGACGTCCTGGCGCAGATGGCGCCGTCGGACGCTGAGGAGCTGGCCGTCGCTGCATCCGCTGCCGCTCCAACCGCCGGCCTCTCGCCGTCCCTGCACCGCGCGCTGGACGACTCGGCCGAGAGCATGCGCTCGCTCTGGTTAGAGTTGCGCAAGGCCTACGCTGACGAGCACATCTCCCTGCTGCTTGACGACTTTGCTCTCTACGCCCTCCTCCGCAAGCTGGATCCTGGAGCCGTGGCCTTTGTCGGCGCGCCGCACGGCTGGCGGCTGGTTCAGACCGCATCAGACGCGCTAGGCGTCAACGCCGGCCGCGGTACTGTCGACGCAACACCCGAGGCTCCGCTGGTGTGCATCGGCTTTGACGATGCCACCGCCGCCGATGTCGAGCACACCAGTTGCGCTCTGTATGATGCGCGTCCGCTGCCGGCAGGTGTGGATGGCAGCAGGGCACCGCAGGCACATCTTGTCCCCGGTGCAATTGATGCAGCTCGCGTTCTCACTGCTCTTGAGCCGTACGTCTCCCGCGATCGCCCTGCGGTGGTCGTCCTCGACCTCCCGTCACGGTCGCTGGCCTCTGGCCTGGCCTCGCGGTTCTCGGCGCCGGCCACTGCCCTTCTTGACATCCTGCCTGAGCTTCCGGCCGGCACTGTCTTGGTCGTGCCGGAAATCTACCTTCCGGGCCTCCCGCCGCGGACTCGATTTGACTACAAGCAGCGCGGCATCAACAGCATGCTCGCGTCGGCGTCGGACGAGAACACGTGGCGCGATCTCGGCTCCGAGTTTGAGCTCGCCTTTGCGCTCTGGGCTGACGGCCACGTCTGCGCTGCAAGTAGCTGCAAAGGGCAGACGTCCGAGTGGAAGCTCTTGTTTGCGGCCCACTACGCCCGCCACTCGCCAAAGAACCTGCTGCTCCCGGCGGGAATCGACCCTGCCGCCGCCGAGCATCCGTACATCCCCAACCGGTACGGCGACCCCGAGGACATGCCGTGGTGGCTTCCCGAAGCCGGCACAGTATGGCTGGTCAAGGGCGGGAAGCGACCGGCGTGAGTCTAGCGTAGCCGCCACCGAGCATCTCAGCCTGGTCGGCTGTCGTACCGAGTCGGCCGCCGGCTCGCCACCGCCGCCGCCACCACCACCCACCCCTCTCGGCTCACTGTAGAGCCCCCCCACCCCAGCGGTCAGAGAGAGAAGGAGCAAGTGTGTTCATAGCAGCAAAGGCGGCATGGCGAGCTACAGCGATGCACACCGGCTGTTTGTGCAGGGCATGATGAGCCGCCGGTACTTGAAGGAGAGCGCCGTCGAGGAGCTCTACCTCAAGGTGGCAGCGCGACTGGGTACGGGCAAGAGGGATGGGGGAGGGGGGGGGGGGGGG